CTCAACTTGGGAAGTGGAGGCAGGAGGATCAATTCAAGGCCAGCCTGGGCTACATGGCTACATGTCTGAAAACAAACCAAACAATTTCTACTTAAAAAAAAAAGTTATATGGAATCATAGGAGCTATGTATATACTTCAATATTAGATTTGTGAGGTTCATCCATATTTGTTTATAACTGAGGTTTTATTTTTCATTGTACCACTTTCAAAAAGTTGAGTACTTAATGCAGTGATTCCAGTCCTTGTTATATAAACAATGGATATGTGTGCCCATATAACCAAGCTACATACTCAGGAATGGTCACAGCGTTGTAGTAATAGCTAAAGAAAACAAAAAACCCTCTTATATCCACCAATGGTGGAATAGACACTTATTGTGGTACATTCATAAAATGAAATACGTGAGAAAAATGAGTTAATTACGGTTGTACATAGCAACGTGTCAATCTATAAAAAACCAAGGTTCTGAGTGAGACTATATATTCACAAAGGACTATATTGTTTTATTTCCATTTTATACAGATTTTTAAAGCAAGTACCACTACTCCTTCTTGGCCTTTTGGCTTAGATCAAGTGTAAAACAGGTAGAGTAAAATAGTGCTCAAAATCAGGATAATGGCAATATTTAGGGATAAAGGATGGGTTAGTGACTGAAAGAAAGGATCAGTTGACTCATGTTCTCTTTTTTGACTTGTTGATTGCAGTGGTGTTCACTTTATGTTCCTTCATTGAGCTTTATATTTGTTTTGTTATGATTCTTCTGTTTGTATGTTAAAGACTGTTGGAGTCTTCTACTTTTTTTTCAATGATAAGGATTTTAAGCATCCAGAATAAAATTTTAAATCTCCAATTTGCTTTAGGTACAGGATTGTGAATTGCTTAACAGCTATTCAGTTTTTACTTCACTTGTCAATATTAAAACAATGAATATTTGCTGCACAATTAAGACTCATGTAGAATATAACTTTTTATAAATAAAAGGATAAAATCAATCTACTAAATTTGGGAGGGGGAGAGTTATACTGTCATTGACTTAATGGTACCACTTGTGAACATTGGATTGTGCAGATTTATGGGTCACTTCCAGCATTCCTCCAGGCCGTAGTTTAGAGAAGCAGACACCACTGGGGTGTATAGGAAGCACCTGGACTTTTACACTTGGGCTTGTACTCTCTCTGAAGAGCCAACAGATAAGTGAAAAATCTGGCTAAGACCACAGTAACTCAGAACAGGTTTTCAGGCTTGTTTTGACTATGACCACCATCAAGAAATGCATTCTACTTCAAGACCCAGAAAATGCATGCATGTACTTAACTCCAGGAAGACATTTACCTTTACAATGTGGCACATTTCTAATATGTTCTATTCTATTCCATTCCCAATAGGCTATAATCTATTGTTGAAAAATACTACTTTATTTAATCCAGTCCCTTTGCTTTGAAGTCTGCAAATGGAAGCACAGAGGTAGAATTATTTTTTTTTAAGTTTTCCATTTTATTTTATTTATTTATTTTTTCCTTTTTTTTTATTGTTTGATTATTCATATGTGCATACAAGGCTTGGGTCATTTCTCCCCCCTGCCAAGGTAGAATTATTGTGCCAGCATTATCCATGATAAGTGATCAGGACCTGGTCTCCTTATCTTTGATAACAAATCTCCAACCCCCCCCCCTTTTTTTTTTTAACACTTCTCTACCTCTGTCATTTCTTTGGTGGTCTAACCCAATCTCATGGCTTTAAAGACTACCCATATACCAAAGACCCTAATTTATAACCCCACCTCAAATCAACTCCATCTTCCCCAAAAGTTGTTGTCAAGGTTACCAGTGATTCCATGCTGCTAAACCAAGGAAATAGTAAGTAGGCTCAGGCTTTTCACTTTATTCTGTCAGCAGCATTTGATCCAGATGGTTATTCCCTGTTCCATGTGGTAACCTCAGACTCTGAAAATGCCACAGAATTTCTGATTTGCCCTCTCCCAACTCTGCCACTTCACACGTACTTCTCTCTTATAAATGACCATCTTAGAAAACTACATCTCATTTCTTGTTCAGTCTTTCATCCACATCATGTTTTAGGGTCTAACATTTAAGCAAGAACTGAACAAATTAAAATCAGTACATGAAACTCTAGCAACCATTCAAAAAACATTTTTTAAGTAAAATAATTGAAGAAAATCTAAAAGTAACACAATTAACAAAATTAATAAATATCCTAAAGAACAAATATTTAATACTATGTTAATTAATACCCAGAACAGATGGGGTACCTACTAAAATTATTGTTCAACTTTACTTTGGAGATTTGTAACAAAGGCAGTACAAAAGAAAATGCATGGTATTCATATTGGGAAAAATACAAAAGAGATGAATTTATTTTGCTGTTGATTGAAAAACTCAAAGGTTCTAGTTTAAAGAATAAATAGAATTTCAAAAGTTGTTAAGTAAGCTGAATACAAAATATTAATACATTTCTTAGTTCCTAGCAGACCTAACTTAACAAAAGGAAATGGAAAGAGTGTTCTACTCCTAGTAGGAATAGTCCTATAAATGAATTAGGAATAAAATTAAGAAAGGTATATAATTATATTGAGGAATCAGAAATATGCAAAAACTAAATCTTGTTATGTAAGAATTTTATAAGTAAAAAGATGGTATATTTTTTAGCTTAGAGAAATGATCAAATTCAACTGTAAGCAATATAAAATAAATTCTGTTAGTTATCAATTGGAGACTTTTCTTTTTGATGTACTAGAGTTTGAACTCAGTCTCCCACTAGCACTAGTGCTTTGAAGGAGCCCTTCCCGTTCCCTTCCCTTTTTCCCTCCCTCCCCATCCCCCTCTGTCTCTCACTCCCTCTCTTTTTCTTGCCTTAGATTATTTTTTGGTTAGGGTTTCCAGTTTTTGCCCTGGACTGGAATCTTTCTACCTATTTTTCTGCATAGCTGAGATGACAGGAAAATACCACCATGCCTGGCTTATAGGTTGCAAAGAGATCTTGCTGACTTTTTGCCTCCCCACAGGCATGAGCCACTGTGCCTAGCAAGACTAAAATTTTCTTAAAGAGCAAAAATCTTAAAAGAAAGTCTAGAAGACTGTACAAGTAAAAGGGTAGGCTGCAGTTTCTTAACCAAAATTGGAAACCTACAAGCCATAAAAGGCATTTGTGACTCAAACAATAGCAAAAAATTATTTATATCTAACATGATATGTATATGTATATATATATATATATATATATATGGAAATGGAAAATGTACCATATAGAAAAAAAGGATAAAAAAAACCCTTCAACAAAGGTGGTAAGTATAAGGTTTATCGCTATATATAAAAAAAACAGTGGGACAAGAAAAGAACTGTTCAGTGAAAAATTAGCAAGAATATAAGCAGGCAGTTCCCTGGAGAACATATTCAAATAAACTAAAGAAATGGGTTGGTCACATGAGATGCATGTGACTCAAGCAGTAGAGTGGCCCTAAACCCTGAGTTCCACCACATAAAAATATACATACACACATACATAAACACAAACCTAAAGAAAGGATGCATTGGTGGCCATGGTAATGCAAATGAAAAGCAATGAGAAATAATTTAATACCCTTTAGACTGACAGAAATGAATATGACTGCACTTTGAGGTATGGGAAAACTATTTCACATTTCTAGAAGTGTGAGCTATTTTTAGGGTACATCAACACTAAAGTTTAAAATGAACTCTAAAATTAGCAGTCTCAGCTCTGGAAACCTATTTTTAAATTTTTATTTATGTATGTATTTATTCAGTAGATAGGGTCTCACTCTCACTAGGAAGCCCAGGCTACTCTAGAACAAGAGTTCTTCCTGCCAATTTCTAAGGATTACAGGCTTGTGTCACTGCTCCCACAGGACTTGATTTTCTAAAGGTTTTGTTAAAATAGAAACGATGCAGGAATGTATATATCATTTTAAAATAAATAACCATAACTGAAAACCAAAACAGCCATGTATGTACATGGACAGATGTATGTAAAAGACTGAATTCAAAGGAAAACATGGTTATCGGTTTGGGAAGGGGAACATGGATGTGAAGTGCATATATTGTGGCCTTTTAAGAGGACTGAGTAAGCAAAACAATGGTTAAAAAAAAGACCTCTCAAAACAGAATTTATTATAAAACTTTTATGTGCACATGTAAAGTTCTACACTAACTAAAAGGGAGTAAGCTTGGTTTATCATGTATGGTTTTTTGTCCAGTGAAGATGCTATTGAAATCTGAATCCCAAAATTAAAATTGCAAGTTTATAGGGGCATACTGCAAAAGGATCCCCAGTATTTAAATGCAAGGTGTTTCCACTAGATGTGAAAGTCCTGCTAGCAATGAAATACCACCTGCTACCACACAGAATGAAATTTTCAAACATCCAGTCTGGAGAGTGCTTCTCGTTCTATAAACAGAGAAACTGGGTAAGGGCCTTTTGGGCTTTAGCTCTAAAACCATTGCAGTTAATTTGCCCCAACCAAGCCCACCTGGAAGCTGCCCCAGGAAGAACAATCTGTGCTTTTAGGCACCACCTGCTGCAAGGAACCACCATTATTACCAAGACAACTCATCACCCACACCTGCGGAGAGGGTGTGGCTCTTACCATGGGTTTTTCTGATTAACCTGTGATTTTTCACAGCCACCCAGTTTTGTAAAAGGCTGCTATGACGTGCCTGCTTGGTCTCATAGGCCAGGGAGAGAGGTTTGTGTAGACCAGAGGCACTTAGCACATTTTAGAGCCTGGGCCACAGGTTTGACCTTGTTTTTTCATAAATATGGCATCTCCTCCTGAGCGCCGGTATTCAGGCAGAGCAAGATAGTACCTACCCGAATTAGCTACATTTGGAAAAATCTGCTTTGTTTAAAACTGACTTGGCATCCAGCTAGTCCTCCAAACAGCTGTACCAGGTCTGGCTGCGTTGATGGATCTGTGTAAAGCTCTTTTTTGAATTTTTAAGTGGCTCTTAAAAGAGCCGTTGGGTTACTGGAAGAAGCCTCCAACCAGAACTGCTCACTTTTTCTTAGGTGCTGCCTTCTTAGGCTTGGCGGCAGTCTTGGGCTTGGTTACCTTCGCCTTGCCCGCTTTGGGCTTCACAGCCTTAGCCTTAGCAGGGCTTTTGGCCACTTTCTTAGGCTTCACAGCTTTAGTTTTCTTAGGGCTTTTGGAAGGCTTCTTTGACAGCACAGGCTTCTTGGCCTTTTTCGGAGTACTGACACTCTTCTTAACCGCAGCCCCGGGAGCCTTCTTAGGCTTCTTAGTAGCGCCAGATGCCTTAGCTTTTGCTGCCACCTTTGTGGTGCTAGGCTTGGCTTCTAAAGAAGCCGTTTTCTTATTTATCTTGAAGGAGCCGGATGCGCCAGTGCCCCTGGTCTGCACCAGGGTACCCTTGCTCACCAGGCTCTTGAGACCCAGCTTGATACGGCTGTTATTCTTGTCTACGTCGTAGCCAGTGGCTGCCAACACCTTCTTGAGCGCAGCAAGGGACACCCCGCTGCGCTCCGTAGAGGACGAAACAGCCTGGACGATAAGCTCTGACACGGGAGGGCCCGCAGGCTTCTTAGCAGAAGCCTTAGGAGCCCTTTTTGCTTTCTTGACAACCGAGGACTTCTCAGGAACAGTAGAAGTAGCCTGGGTAGCCGGCGGTGTCTCAGACATGGTCACTGCCTCAGCAAACAATACCAAAGAGCAAGTCCGGGAAAAGTAGGAGTACGCGGCAAGCTGGGCGAGGAGTATTTATAGAGCGGTGCTGCGCTGTGATTGGTGGACGCTAGCGCCCCGCCTCTCGCACCCTGGCGCCTCCGTGAGCGGTCCGGGTCTTCGCCCAGTCTCAGAAGGCAGCTGGCGGGCTGCTGGGGCTCATTGTCTAGCTTCCTTCTGCGCGCGCAAACGTATCCCCCAAATCGCCCCGCCAAATCCTTGAGACTGGAATTTTAGGCAGACTCGGGTCGCGCTGTGCCGCGCAGTAACATCAGAGGGTGCTATTTGCTATTTCCCTCTCGAAAAGCAGCTCGTTTTGTGGCACAGGGGGGTATTTGTAAGTTATCCAAAAATAAAAATCCAAGGAGCTTAACTTGGATTTAGAAGATGCCTTATGGATGTTTACTTATGGTTTTCAAGGAAAGTAAAAGATACTGCCTTGGATAGTGAGGGAAGGAGAAAGGGAAAGAGGAAAGTGAGCCTGTAGGCCTTGTCTGTAGGTTCAGGACAGGTTCTCAATCCATGCCCCTATATTTACTGACAAGGCTGAAGAGGTGTGTGGTACAATTTTCGTGTATTTTGGCCAAAGGAGAATGAATCGTAGAAAACTCCAGAATTCAACTAATCGCTTGAACTTCGTGTGTGCGACAGTGCAAAGGATTGCAATTTATTCCTGCAGTCCAGCACTGCAAATATTCAATGCCCTTTCATCCTTATATCCCAAATGGTCGCTGTTTACAGCCTATGCTTATGTCAGCACCATAAACACTGTGACACAGTTATCTCTTCTATTCAATATGGGCTGATAAGGCTCACAATGGAACCTACAAGAGGCGCTAAGTAAACAGATGGACAAGCCGGTTTTATGACAGGCATTGTCCCAGGAGTTAAGGTCCCCTTTGTGTAGAAACAGGGCAATATCCGTGGGGTAAGATTTTTAGGGAAATCTCTTTAAGGCTGTAAAGAGCATTTAAAAGCATCAACATGCTACAATTTCACATTCGAACCAATAGTTGTAAACTAACAGGAGAATAAACGATTTTAAACTGACGTCCTTTTCCACAATCCTGGGTAAGCACCTAATGTTGAGGAGAGCAGGGAAGAGGCAGAGACAATGGCATCTCATTCCCGCCAGCACAATGTAGTAGTTTTCAAACAAGTCCGCAGTAGCCAAGGGAGCCTGTGACTTGCCACATTTCCTTTAAAACAATGAAGTAAATGGAATGATTCCTGCTTCATACTGTGTCGGTGCTCTCCGCTAATCTTTCTTGCCTGTCATTTTTGAGAAGCGCTTCAAAGTGTTTCATGTGAAGTCTAAATTTGGAAGAGAACAAATGAAAAAATTACGCGTACACAGATTTTAGCTTTTTTGTTAAGTACGCCCTTTTTAAAATACACAAACCTTTCTTGGTGTAATAAGCACAGCATTTAATCGAACGCAGTTTTTTAAAACGGAAACACTCCGAATTACCTGACTCAGGACCAGTTTCTATGCTACTTTCTTAATCAAATAATGGTTCCTGCCTCCTTTTGTTTCCATTGTGTTAACATGTGGCTTCCAATAAAATGGGAACACTCCACGCAAATGAAGGATGCTAGATCTGCTTTCTTAATGGCCACTGCGGATAAGAGAATAAACCAATCAAAAGGTAGAATTTGGTCTCCCTCCTGTTAGTATAAAAGAATCGCATTCACCACTTCAACATTTTGACATATGAAGGAATCTTAAGGTATACTCTTCATTGATGGGTATTCTCTGCAGTCTGACTTCGTGTTTCTTTTGGGCAGCGTCTCCCGCCTGCCGCGAAAGTGGGCTGCAGGGTCGGTGTACCTGGCAGCAATGCTTGAGAATTTCGCCCGCCGCCATTTTCCACCTGACAATATATATCCCAGTCCAAGTATAGAATTCCAGTGAGCCGCACGAACATTTAACAAAAAGATGTCCTATTACAGAAAGTTTGTTCAGCAATATACTTTTACTATGCTTAGGGTTATGCTTCATAGGTGTCAATGAAAGGCCATAAGATTACAAGATCCCGTATTTGCAAAAGGTTTTAGAAACTGTATCGGGTAAACAAGCAGGGAAAATACACGTTTTGGGGAGTAGACAATTTTACTCTTTACCCCTTCCCTCCAAGACTTGGTCGTTAAACAGTATTGGAGAACTACAATGCCATGGAAATCAGTGTCAGGTTGCAATTAGATGTCAAACAAAAGTTTTTAAAAAATTGACTATAGTAGCCAATGAAACTGGACATTTGTTGGACGCTTTGAAGATAAGCCAATCTGAGCCTGATACGTCATAGCTAAACAATTCTTCATCCAATCACCACACTTTACATGCTATAAATACTACCAATGCCTTTCCTGAGCTTTGACTTCTAAGTTGTCTTGATTTTGTAGCTGTTTGTCATCATGGCTCGTACTAAGCAAACCGCACGTAAGTCCACCGGCGGCAAGGCGCCACGTAAGCAGTTGGCTACTAAGGCCGCCCGCAAGAGCGCGCCGGCCACCGGCGGCGTGAAGAAGCCCCACCGCTACCGGCCCGGCACCGTGGCGCTGCGCGAGATCCGCCGCTACCAGAAGTCCACCGAGCTGCTGATCCGCAAACTGCCGTTCCAGCGCCTGGTGCGCGAGATCGCGCAGGACTTCAAGACCGACCTGCGCTTCCAGAGCTCGGCCGTCATGGCGCTGCAGGAGGCGTGTGAAGCCTACTTGGTGGGTCTATTTGAGGACACGAACCTCTGTGCTATCCATGCCAAACGTGTTACAATCATGCCTAAAGACATCCAACTTGCCCGCCGCATCCGTGGGGAACGGGCATAATTGGCGTTTTTTGAGACTTTAAACCAAAGGCTCTTTTCAGAGCCACCCACATTTCCAAGTAAAAGCGGCTGTTAAACACTAGTAATACAACTAGTCTATACAAGTGGGCCAAACACCTGAGAATGAAAAGGAATTAATACTGTTAGGGATTAAAGGGCACATGAGAATCTGCGTTTTGAATGTAGCAATTTTACAAGTTGGAAAGTTGGACAGTTTATAACCCTTACGTACAGTATACAATTCAGCCTTTAACGTCAATGTTAAAATTAGGGTGTGAAAAGCATCATTACCATTAACAGTATTTGTGTTTCAAATACTTTGGGGGTCATATGAGTTTAGATTAAAATTCTTAAACCCGGTTCCTCCAAGTTTAAAGACAGTCCAGTTAAAGCAAAGGCCTAAATGTCTTCTGCCTTCCCGCCCCCGTCTAGTTCTAGGGCTTGGAGAGGGGCGGGAGGGCAGGGGAGGGGAGGGGAGGGCAGGGCAGGGCAGGGCAGGGCAGTGGGGAGGAGACTGTAGGCGTCACGTTTCCCGCCATTGCGCTTTCCATTCTCTAACGCTGCTGGGGGTGGGGAAAAGGGAGGAGGCAGATATATAAAGATGGGCTCTGCCAGTCTTTCTCTTACAGTTGGCGCTCTTGTGTAGCCATGTCTGGACGAGGTAAGGGCGGGAAGGGTCTTGGCAAGGGCGGCGCTAAGCGCCACCGCAAAGTCCTGCGCGACAACATCCAGGGCATCACCAAGCCCGCCATCCGGCGCCTGGCCCGCCGCGGCGGAGTCAAGCGCATCTCCGGCCTCATCTACGAGGAGACCCGCGGGGTGCTCAAGGTTTTCCTGGAGAACGTGATCCGGGACGCCGTCACCTACACGGAGCACGCCAAGCGCAAGACGGTGACCGCCATGGACGTGGTCTACGCGCTCAAGCGCCAGGGCCGCACTCTCTACGGCTTCGGAGGCTAAGGTCTGATTTTTAACCAGCATTTCTGAACCAAAGGCCCTTTTCAGGGCCACCCAACTACTCAAAAGAAAGGGCTGTAATGTATGTCACGCGAGTCTAGGTGGACGGTGAAAGTCTCCCAGAGCAGAGACTGCAGGAAATATGGGCTACAATATAGGCCCATATATTTTGACCACTTATCCTTTCGCTTGCATTTGTTAGATAAGAGTGTAGGAGTGCAGTTCAAGAAAAATGCGTGGAAAGTATTGCAAGGAACTTGTATTACTTTCTACCGAACAAAGAGAAACACTGCCTTATCAGCGTGTCCTACTCTTCACTGTCTACCAATCAGAAATGATGACCTAATGTCTACCGAGGCAAGCCCCAGAGCAGGAAGGGAAAGAGATTGAGTGCTTACCGAGAAACTGCAAAATACCGCTCTAGATTTTTTATTGTTGCTTTTATTCTATGGATTATAAAGTAGAAACGAACATGTAGCTACTCCTCAGTCATGTACAGGAACCGTACTGTAATTATCGCCACCGATAACAGAGAAAAAAGTCTGAAATGGAAACCAGACAAACTGCCAGGATACTCAGGGGACATAATGTTTTAAGGAGAAAAGATGCCTCTATCGCTGTCAACAGCGGGTTTCAGCAGTTAGCCATATTTTTTCTTTCCTTCACAGGGTGATGGAAATGTCCTATAATTACTTTTAATGGTTGCACAACTGGAAAATACACTAAGTTTATAGTATGTAAACTATATTGATATAGTTGATTTTTTTTTTTCTTTTTTCATCATTGAGAGAGGGAGAGGTGAACTTGGTAAGGGTAGGAGCTGTCACTCCAAATGGCGGCCTGTGCGAGATTAAGAAGTTTGGGTTTTGTCTAGCAAGTTATAGTCACCGAGTCTTAAAGGATGTCTCTGATCCAATCATGGGTTCAAGTAATTTCTCAGGTTTCAGAACTCATCCAGAGAAGGGATTGAGAGCTCACTTAACGTTGGCCAATAGAGAAATAACCTCCTCTCATATGAAGATATCCAAACGCGTCTTTCACTGGGCTTTTTTGGGTATCATTATGTAGGGGTTACTTTCAGCCACAGCATGATAACTTTAGGCATGGCTAGTTGAGTGTCTGATTTGGGGGTACTTTTTTCCACTGGAAAAACTGCTCGATTTCTTGGGCAATGATGAAAATACTCAGCTTGGCTGAGTAGGAAATCCA